CCCAAAAACATTGTGACAATTGTGTATGTTGAATGGATGCCTAACAAACTGCAACAAGAAGATACCCACCTCTCCTTTTCTCTCTTCTCTCTCTTTCTTCATGAAATGTTGCTCTTGTGAAACACACTTATATACGGGCATTGCCTCTCATCAACATAAATTAGTGCAGTGCCTAATTTCCCACCTGCACTCTCATTATCAGCCACTTCCTCTTGTTTCTCCCCATTAATGATTCTTGATTGCTCATCTATGGAATATGTAAAAACTGCATTTGATGATTTGTGTATACTTGATGAGGAAAAAACAAAGGGGGGCAGAATGGAGAAGAGGGAGCACATTGATTCGGATGATAAATACAAGTCCAATTAGAACCTTGAAGCCGAGACGAGACGGCGCAAGAAGCTCAATGACAGGCTCTTAGAACTGCGTTCATCAGTCCCAATAATCACAAATGCAATGATCCAAAACCTTAACAGTTTTTCCATTTCGAAATTGATTAATCATATTAATTAGCAGTACTTTTAATGTGTACATGATATATTTTTATCGTTCATGATAAATTATTATTATTAATCTTGTCAACAGCCTCCATTGAAGGGCCTAAACTTTGGATAAAGATCGTCTATCAGAAGACAAAAGGCAGATTTACGAAAATAATGGAGGCCATGAGTGTGCTTGGATTTGATCTTACAGCCAGGTATCAGTGTCACCACCTCCAAAGGAGGAATTCTTGTTACTTCATGTGTGGAGGTGAAGTTTGATTCTTTTAATAAATAATAACAATCACTTGGTACAATTTGTCTGCTCATCTGTTTACTGGAAATGATATTCTTTTCTTGTAGTAGATTATACGGTACAATCCGTGTATATCTATGTAAGTACACCAGATATTGAGCATTAGTACAGAATAATATTTTTGTCTCCAGCAGTATTTAGAAGGACTAAGGTTTATAAACTTCTTTTTTCACACTAAATTTCAGGGAACTCAAGGTGGGCTACCTGATGTTGATCAGCTCAAAGAATTGTTATCCCATTTCATCAAGAGCATTATAATGTGATTCTTGCTTTTAAGCGTGTTTTCTACTAGAGAATTTTTTAGCAGTCTTGAAACCATTGTGAATCGAAAGAAATGAAATCAATTTTGAGCATGATAATTACATTGCACTGACAACAGAGTTACTAAATAAGAGTAGCAACATTAAGTCCAATCTTTTCTGCCAACCTAACATCCTCTGTCAAATTAAATGTAAACATAGAAAAATGAAAAATAATATATAATATTTGTCTGGTCGCAAGTTTTTCAGGAAGACAAAAAATCACCCTGAAAATGAAGTTTAAAGCAAGTTGTGCAGCACGGAAACTTCGGGAAGAATATGAAATTTCAATGTTTGTGATTCCACCAGACACCCAGATAAGCTTTTCCTAAGAAACACCTTCCTTTATTAGCTGCAGATCCAAATGCATACCACATGGATACTTTTAAAAAAGTGCAATTTTTTATTGTTCAGAGTCTTAAAGAAAGACTAATGTTTTTCAAAGATTTGAATCTAAGACTGAGTTTGTCCATCTTCTGGCAAAGACACTCAGTCTATTCTCTACTATATAACACAACTCCAGACCTGCATTTAGTGAACTAAGTTCTTGTCCAGGACTCGATATTTATTATGGCTAGATTTCTATTTCTTTACATTATATTAGCCGAACTATTCGGTTCTATGGGAAAAGGCATTGCGTTGAGAACTTCATTCGCCTTCGGGCCTTTGCAAGTAGCAGTTTCAAGTCCAGCACCAGCGCCATCAGAAAACGGGGTTAATTGGATGTCCAGTGGAAGTCCAGGAATCAAACTAATTAGGAAGCATCATTCGTCTGTCGCTGGTGGAGATGTGATTCTTGGTGGACTAGCCATTGTTTCAGTTGCTGCCATTTTCTTCTACATCCGAATAACCAGACAAAGCAGAGAATCTCATGCCTGAGTCAAGATTATCTTATTTTTCCAGTTTCCATTCCGCGTATTTAAATTCGTTAGACTATCTTATTTTGAGATTTTTTAGTTGTATGCAGAATTCATTGAATTTTACAAACTTCACCTAAATTGTGGTGCTTTATATTTAAGTGTTGAAAAATGAAAAGATCTATGTGATTTTTATAAAGCAAATAAGGTTATTTCTTGAATGAACAGGAGTTGCATCTTCAAAATCTTCTTATTTCATTCCAAAGTTCTACAGTTAGTCTCCAGATTTTTCCAATCCTACAAGCATTAGACGAGAAAATCATTTCATCTACGTTCTTCAAGTTCCACAAAAAAGGCAAATCTAAGAATGCCTTGAACAAAACCAGAGAAAATTAGAACTGATAAAGAGGATTGATTATTCTTTTATTCCTCAAACTTCCAATTGGAGCTCATCCTAGCAAGATTCTTTTCCACCAGTACATCTGCATTGCAAAATCAATTTTATCATCTAGAATGAACAATTAAATCATATTTACTTAGTATTAAAA